TAACTATCAATGCAGCTGATGGTTTGGAGCTCCCAGTAGGGATGAGTTTTTGCTGGACTGTGATACAAGTAGAAGTGACAGTTTTATATGCCCTAGTGCTACTTCTGAATCAAATGATTGGTGTGTATTAAATAAAATTAGACAGGATTCAATCTACATTGAGACTTTAAAGGATAAGCAAAAAAAACCCCATGTACCCAAGGGACTGCTATGTAGTGCTAAGCCAATCTGACAAAATAGGCTGATAGTAACACCCTTCAACTTATTCAAGGAGGTGAATATTACACCCTGAATGCCCAGGCTCATCTTTGACCTTCCTCTCTCATAAGAAAGGAGTTCGACTGTATTCACATTAGCCTTACGTGGCTACACTATGCAGGTCTTTTCAGCCTTAATGAATGAGGACCACAAGCCAATTTGTATCACTTTTACAAGCACTGCATGTTTCTCTTTTCTAACCAGGCTACTGGAACTCACAGCAGCTACTATACAATACTTCTGTGGCAGCCCAGCTGAAGTGCTCAGGTTGTAGGCCTAAGTATTAAACTGCTTGCATCCTAGGAGGTCTCAAGAATATCAGAAGCTGTCCAAGGCAGGAGAACTGAAGTCATTGCAAGCAAAGTAGGTCACAAGTTGTCCATTGCAAATCATGAGAAAGAGGCCACTGCCTGAAAGAGAAGGGTAAAAGTGCATTTGAAACACAGCACCGGTACATCCTTCTCCATCAACCATCCAAAAAAAAACCTCACAAGGTTAGATCCCAGTGGAAGTGTACCGATAGCCATAAAAAAAACAAAAACTTGTGGTTGGACCAAAGCAATTGCTTTTAAACACAAAGCAGAGTTTCTCAATACCCTTTAACAGCTGGATGGGGAGGGGGATAGAGTAAACCCAGTCAGAAATAAAAAAAACTTACCAAGTGCTACCCACCACTGCCACACCAAAGGGAATTGTCCCATCACTGCAAAATACAGATAAAATATATCAGTGTTCCTGTAAGGAGATGTGAGGCCATAAATAATCTGCTAAGACAATGTTATCTACCTGGCTAGAGCCAGAGTCTAGAAGTCAGGATTCCTGGGTTCAATTTCTATTTTTACCACAGACTTACATTGTATGGGATGTTTTGCTGGGAGAGAGGAAGCCAAGTCAATTAAGTTGTCATACTCTAGCCTTCAGTAAATTGGAGCTAAGAGTTCCCAACCCAGAAGTAGCAGGCCATGGAGAAAGTTGTACAGTTCAATGCAAAAGATTTTGAGCCATCAGTTAGATGAAGGGTGAAGAATTATTACTGATGTGCAAACATACTATTTAGAGGGCTTGTGTGAGAGTATTACTATCCCTGAGCATTCAGAAAGAATGAGGTGGGTCTCTCCCAAAATATCACAATATTTCAGAATACCATGGGTTGATGCGTGTGCTCTGATTTTGAAAACTTTGTCAGGAGTGGGTCACGTTTGCAAGCTTTTCATGCAATCGTAGGTTTGGATTACTTTTATTTATTGTGATGAGAGCTGAAATTATCTCTATCAGTGAATATTGTGATGCTTGCAAAAACAAAAATCATGAGTTGGAAGCACTCAAAATTAAATTTATATTTTAAAGAGACTACTCAAAAATGTTGAAATAAAAATGAAAAAATGTTGAAGTCAAATTTGCCACTCGACCTGATTTTAGACAATGATGCTAGACTAGAACAGTCGGTTAGACTTCATCATGATTTCAGATTCTCAGGAGTGTGGTGCTTGGTTTTCTACGAGTACAGCAGACTACACATTTTTCCTAAGAAAATATTTCTAATACTAATTTCTGCAGTTAAATTTCAGGGTGTGAAATTCCGTTTTACACCTAAAGTAGATGGTATTTTCCCCTTTTTTAAGAAGTTTGAGCTTTGATTCCTACAGGGTGGGGGGGTGCTTTAAGTATACTTATAAGTTAATGGAAAATGAGAGTCTTGAGATAAAAACAAAAAAAAAACAAAAACAAAAACCTGTGAATGTCCTTCTGGCTCTACTGAATATATATGGGAGTTTTGCCATTGAATTGAATGAGGCCATGATTTTGTGCAGGGATAAGGCGGCAGAAGATAGATGTTGTATATCTGACACAGACTTCTTGCGTGACTTCCTCTCGCCTTGTTAGGCTGGCTGTCCCAAACATTATTGCTTTTACCTCCATTTATGTGAAGTTACGAAAAGGTGCAAGAACAAAGTGCATTTATGATTTGTGCCCTTTATTAATGCTGCCTGCTTTGGCTTTTTTGTATAATATTTTTCTCATGGGGGTAAAGGAAACAAATACCCTCCTTGGGCTCTGAACAATAATGTTAAATGAAATTAAAGCAGCCTGTGTTCAGAGGGCAGAGTGCAAGGCTGCACAGACCGATGGTTGCTTCTGGATATGAAGAGTAGAAGGACTATGTGACCAAGCTATTTGAAATGCTTGAATGGGACAGGAAGTGAGGCAGGCAGCTGTTTGTCAAAGGAAAACTCAAGAGACAACAGAAAAGATGGATATTAAACTCCTAACATGGCTAATAGGAAATGCTTTTATGTAATATAGGTCTGATCCACTCAATTCAAAAAACCTGGGGTCAGGCTCTATGTCATAATTAGCCTGTGGAACTTGTTGACGCATTGTGGCAGGCATTCAAGTACACTTCCAAAAAACTGTGGCTGTGTCTGAATGATACTGGCATGACAGCAACTGGAGCTGGATAGGAGCTCTGGGTCCTTATGAAAACCAATTTCCCCTTAAAGCTCAGTGTAATGCATGTGAGTGAATGCACAGTGGTGGGAGGGGTTGGGTTATCTTTTTTTGCTGCATCTGATATTGGTTAACAGGGTACAGAACGAGATGGGCGACTGTTCGGTTCTGCCCTAATAAATCCCATGTCTCTAGCTCATCCATCTACTTATATATCTGTTCCCTATTTCTTCCCTTGTGATTCTTCGCTCATTTATCATTCATCAGTTTGCCCATCTTACTCTCTCCATCCATCTATCTCAATCCCAGAGCGCTGAAGTTCTTCTCTGAGTAAGAGTTACACAAAGAGTCATTCTGTTGCAGTGGAAGCCGCTGCAGTCAATCATGTTAAGACCAGAGCACATATATCATCCTGTATTGGAGATTGACACAATGGATCTAATAGACAGATGTAATAAATGTAGATAAGGAGCTGCACGGGGCTTTTCCCAGCATTCCCTGCCACTAAATCGTAGGCATTTTTCATTCAGTAAAATGACTTTGTGAGTAAGCAATTAGTCTCTCACTATAAACAGAACCAGGAAGTTAATGGAAGGGGGGTAGCAGCTATTGGGTGGCAGACTCCCAGTCCCTTTCCTGAGGAGTGATGGGGCTGTTTCCACTCCATTAGCACCAGTGGGACGCAAATGGTGGCGTCTGTCTCAGGAAACTTGTTCTGCAAGACAAATGAAACTTTCTTCCCTGTTATCATCACAGCCACTATGGGTAGGAAGGAAGATGCTGTTCTGCATGGCACAGGAATTAATGGGACAGAACAACAACACGGGCCAGGGCTGGGGAAGAGGAGAGAAAAGAAGCGACAGACCCATTTGAAAGCCATTTCAATAAGACTATTTTCTGTAATGTTCATATTTACTTTGAAGCTGTTTTCAATTTTTGGTCTTGCTGGATCATTAGGCTTAAGTATTATGTGCAGCTTAGTAAGGGGTAAAGGAGAAAGGGGGAAAAGACACAGGGCAAGGGAGGTTGCATTAGGTGTAGCCTGATCTGTCCAGAGCTTTCAAGGTACCAGCCTTCCCTCTGACAACTGACCTGATGCCCTCCGAAGCCCTCAACAGTAAATGCTCTTTCACCACTGTCATGGGATTTTCAAGGTCTCCACGTTCTACCTGTCTCAGTTGCCATGGAAATCCAGGGTCTCAATAGTCTACCCCAGGTACCAGTCTTGGTTGCTACAGAAACCTTCAGGGGTCTCAACATTCTCAGCAGCCACCAATCCCGAGCGTCACCGAACCGCCGAGCCCTAACGCACCATGTGACAGTGACCACCCGCCTGCCACTCCATGGGACCCTCCTCATCTGGCTGTTTCACTCGGTATTTCCTCTAACGTGCTCAGGTATTACAGGCAGACCTTGGAACTGCTCATAAAATGATCAGCCCCATCTTATTTGCTACCAGAGGTGTTCAATCCACAGACTTCAGATCCAGGTGTTGAACATGTTGCAAAAATGAAGGAGGGAAAAGGTGATAAATCTAAGGTAATTAAATGTAATGCATATCATTGGAACCAAGGCAAATGGTAAAAGTTTTAAGGGAAAAGTGTGTGCATGTGTCCGCACACAATGGCATAGGAACATTTTGGTCTAGTATTTGCTGAATATTTAGAAATAACGGGAGTCAGTTAACTATCACAGTGCAATTTTCAGGTCCATTTACTTGGAAACTGAAATTTTTGCTCTCTTTATGCTTAAAAGCAGGTTTAAGGCAAGGCGGTGATTTTGAAAACACAAGAACCTGGAGGACACTGGAGCACTTTACAAAACATCCACGTTAAAAGGCGTTTAGCTAAACTACAGTTTTGGAAAAAACGTAAGGTTTTAAACCACCTCATAGTTTCATAGTTTCTAGGGTCGGAAGGGACCTGAGAAGATCTAGTCCGACCCCCTGCCATGGCAGGAAAGAGTACTGGGGTCAAACGACCCCAGCAAGGTGTTCATCTAACCTCTTCTTAAAAACCCCCAGGGTAGGAGCCTGCACCACCTCCCTTGGAAGTTTGTTCCAGACCCTAGCCGCCCTGACTGTGAAATAGCGCCTTCTGATGTCTAACCTAAATCTACCTCCTTTAAAGAGATGCTAGGAGGAGTTGTGGGCAGTGTCTCCGATCATCTGAACCAAAACATAAGCAACAGGATGCTCTTCTAATATGGCATGGTCCTGGGATGCTGGCTGAATTCTGACTCAGCAGGAAGAGAGCTGCTAATGGCATTGTTTGCACCACTGCTTGTAACACCTGAGTCTGAAGTCCATATATTTGGAGTTGCTTAGTGCATGAGAAATGATAAAATCTTATCCTGCTTTCATACAGCTACAAAATAGAAAGGGTCAGTTGCCTATACTTTCAAATAAAGTGCCATGTTTGGAATCCACCTGACTCAAACTCACCAAGAGAGGTCAGTATTACATGGATCAATGTGACAGTGATGGCGTAGTCCCAGACCCATCGCTTCAGCAGTGCAGCAAAGAGAAGGCTGCTGGTGAAGTATGTCAGCTCCATGGACAGCAAACTCACTAGGAAAATGAGGAACAAAACCATCCTTATTGTGGAGTGAAGGCAGATACAGCTCATAGCAGGGATCTGTGGGAATGCAAAGCATCCCTGTCAATAGCATTCCAAGAAAAGACCTCAACAGTCTCCTGGAGTTAACTTCCTGTCCCATTCTTTGGGGTACAGATTATACTGGTACTAATGGGAGATATGCAAGAAGACACAAGCAAAGTCCATTCCCCGGTGACAGAGAAATCTAGTACCATTTATTCTTCTCATTGCCTATAGGCCACTTCATTATAAACCAGTGCAACTTCACTGTCTTCCCTGTATGAGTCCTTAGAGTCCAACCTTCCAGATAAAGTAATCCCACATGCTCAGGTGTTCACAAGCTCTTGGCCTGGAAGGATCTATGTGGTTTTTTATATTCTAGTGCTGCCTGGCTGCCCCACACTTCTTACCGAGATATTTGGGGTTGGAATAAGAAGGCTCTGTTTTAAATTCAAAGGGGATGAGTCCATCAAATGTGTCCAGCCTGGAAAGAAGGCAGGAAAAAAATTGTTAAAAACATTTTTAGGAAGTGAAAAATGATCAAGGGCAATTACACTGCTCTCCAGTGAAAACTTGGTGTTTGAGGCTCATGCCTGTCTGGATGAGTTAGTCTATAAAACCCTTGTTAAATGAAGCCAGTATAGTTATACTGTAAATTTCCAAATATCATGTGAATATTCAGCATTCATAGAGTATAAAAGAGAACCTCCAAATTGATCCCATCAATGTCTCCTTGCATTTAGATTAGGATATAAACAGGGAACCTTTGCAGTTATGGCTGATATTTTAACAGCAGCCATTATGCCACCTGTGAGCTGTTTCAATAGCCTCTCTGAACTCCGTTCAGTTTCCAGTGAGCTGCATGTGTTTCGTTTAAGCCATCCCATCCTGTTGACACTGACTGGATCTCAATTTCAGTACCCTCAGCAGAGAGGTCAAGTTGGAATTTTCAAAGGAACCTAAGGGGATTAGGAGCCTGACTACTATTGAAATTAAATGGCACCTGAGTGCCGTTTGGTTACTCTCAACATAAAAATATTTTGAAGATGTAATGGTCCTGTCAGTCCTAAAAGTGATGACTATTTTAACTATGCAGCAGTGGTCTGTGATCTTTTTCCAGCAAAAGGAAACCTGAATGAGTCATTTGCCCTGTCTGCATCTCCATGAGGATGTAAGAACTGTCATTTACTGGGTCAGACCATAGGTCCATTTGGCCCAGTATCCTGTGTCACACCATGGCCGAGAGTGGGTACTGAAAGGGAGAATCAACTGGGTATGACCAGGGCTTTTTCCACTGTTTGCCAGGGGTGACGCATAGGGGGTACACAGGGGTGTACATGCACCCCCTGAGAGCGCTGGTGCACCCCATGTTAGGCTGTGCTCTCTTTAACTGGCAGACAGGGGGTCCCCCTGTGAGTGCCAGCCAGGGAATGGGGCCACCAGCAAAAGTGGCCGTGCCACTTCCGGAAGTGGCCGCAGGAGTTCCCCCCCCCCCCCCC